ATGAAGCAACTCAGGGTGTTCAGGAACTCCACCATAAGTTACAGATACGTGGTTTAAGACTCATAACAAGAAAAAATGAAACTATCACAATCAAAGACCAAACTATCACAATCAATGATCATGGGTTCAGGTCATCATAGATCCACCAAATGTGTGATCTTTTGGCCTGATGGTTCCAGGTGATGAAGACGGGACAGGAGACTCCTCAATGTGGATCGGGTCAAAATCAACTGAGGATTCATCCACTGCAGAATGATGGTTCAAGATCATCCACAGGCATTTCTAAGGGACGCAACTTCCATCGTTTTGCAGCCGCACCGCCCAGGCTGACCTGTGAGCCCCGGAATCGGCATCGGTGAGAGACAAGTCAGGATGACATGCACTCATGACTCATGACGTCAAAATGATATCCTCATAGAGGTCATAGAAGACTTGTATGTCTTTTTTTAATCGCCAACTGCAGTCAATGTCAAGCGGAAGCTGTTCGACTGGCAAACTCTCTCTGCTCCATGAAACATGGCACGGAACATGTTGCTCGGAGAAGCACATTGATTCTTTTCACAAGCGCTGGTTTGGGCGGCAGATGCTGTGCTGGTGCTGGTCATGTGACCTCTGGAAGGAGGGTATCAACTTGCAGACTTACAGACTTCTGAGTTTTGATTTGACTTTAGGAGATGAGTTTATTGTCCACCAAGCAACAGTAAGCCCAGGCTTTTGTGGACCAATATATAGTGCCAATTTGCTTAACTATGCAGGATATCCATATCATGGTATAATGGAGAAAAGGTAGTACCGGTGATTAGTCAAGCAGACAACAACAACACAAGTCTTTGGTAAGAACGAGTCCAACATTAGCAATGGAAAACATCTTGAGCCCACGGTGGCAATAGCTCTTTGACGCCCAACAGCTTAAGCTATTGGTAACGGAGGATCGGGCGGCAGAGGATGATTGGACTCGTTTTTGGTAGCAAATCGCGAGAAAAAAGGGCACGGGCTGCCACACGCTGCTTGCGTGCATTATTCTTGCCAAATCCTTAATAAAGGTTGCACGAATTGCCAGCAATATCTGCTATATCTTCAATCAATACTTAGCATAATCTTCAAGACTCCAGAATTGTGCTCAGAGTTCGTAGCGGGCGTAGCTTGTTACAATGAGATCTCATGGTCTTCCAATCTTCGACGCTTCGCGGTGTCCGTTGCCATGTCCATTGGTCGCTGTCGCGCTTAACTCGCCTGGCGTGCGTGTTTCTCGAGTTCGATCCGACACCAAGCGCGACCGGGTTCCCTGCTGGATTCGGTTCGAACCCGAACCTACGGCGGCCCAAGGTTCACGACCCTCAAATGTCGAGACGGGTGGGTTTCCGATGCAGGAAAAGCGTGGTGAACACCCTGGAAACCTCAAGGTCTCTTGAAACAAATGAGGCAGAGAAGCTGCCACTCAAATCGTTTGATCTTTGGTCTGATTTAGGGATCCACTAGACTAGATCAACCCTCCTTGAGCTATCGGGCATGCACGAGGACCCACGGTGATCCCGACCAATTGGATCCCACCACCGAAAAGGATCGCCCTACGGATTCTTGAACGAGTCCGGGCTTACCTGGAGCCAAGAATGATTGGAAGATGAAGCTGAAATTAGAGTTTTGAAGGCTTTTTTCAGGTGATGGACTTCTGTGAGGCTCGAAACTACCCCAGGCTCCATTAGCTAATCATTTGTTTGTTTAGCTAGGGAAGATCTCCGCCTTGCAGGCGACTCCAAGGCGAGGGGTGGTGCGACAGAACAGTCTTTCACTCGGTTGAAGCAATAAGAATACTGGGTGGGGGGGGGGTGAAGCACTTCTTCATGACTGGAATGGATGATGAGTCCGAGGATTCTTTTTTGGGGGGGATGTTGGATGATCCGGAGAGGTAGGCTTCTGACGCGACACATCGGCATCGGGATCGGAGAATGGATGCCTCAGTGGCAAAGAAATGGTCGAGTTGCCCATTTTGAATACACTTTTTGGGTCGCTCTGCCAGAGATTGGAGGAGACAGTATGTCGGTGCTTCAACTGTTTTTTTTCCCGGTTGACCAGTCCACATGGTGATATGAGAACACTCTCCTTTCCATGTCGCAACTCGCCAATGGCGAACTGCTCACCACGAGAAGGATTCTTATGTCTTGTGACTTTCCGAGCTGCACGCGCCACCTCTGAAATCCATTCAAATCCATTTTGGGAGCTCAGGACTTCGCCAAGCGGAGTTAGCCACATGAAGAGCGAGGGGGTTTTCAGAAAAGAGCGAGACAGGGAAGCCTCTATTCTGGACTTCCCTATGAAGCACAAGTCAGACAAGCAAAATTGTGTCGGCAGAACATGTACCCGTTGCACTCTCAGAACTAAAGTCTTGGCACTAACCTTGCTTTGACATGCATCGGTGATGGGATTCCGTGCAGGAACGATTTGGCAAAGACCGGTTATTTTCAACGGGATGCTTTTGTGGGGTGATGAGCTTCAAGGGGTTGTTTTTCAGGGTGATATCCCAGCCTAGCGGGTCGCCACTGCAAGTCGCCGCTGGTTTTTTCCTCCAGGCTCAAAGCGCATCTTGCAAGTCCAGCCAAGAGTGGAGGTCTGTTTTTGGGGCGGTGGGGCTGTGGTGGTGGGTCTTGTGCCAGCGGTTTGGAAGACATTTATGAGGGTGAAGATTGGAGTGAAAGGAAGAGCACTTTTGAAGCATTTAAGGCTTGCAGAACATTTGTTATATAATATATATTTTATAATGATATATAACTATATATACATAGAAGTCTTCTGATTTCAAAACAGATGACATTCCTGAAGCATTAGCAAGGCCTGTAATCTGGATTTGGGGCCAAAAAAGGTCTGCCAGTCACATTTTGAATGCCTGGCAGTTTGGAATTCAACACTCTGAGGGTACAAAAGTCCCCGTCAGCTGCGACCAAAAAGCAACGGCTTGAAATGCAAATGTGTATTGTGAGGACTTCTTGAGCCCAGTGAGTGTGATGTTTGAAAATAGGAAGACCCCTTCGCCCGATGGGCGGACTGGTTCGCCCTATTCTAATGATTCTAATGCACACGCATGTCCTGGTAGACAAGCAAAAGTTTGCTTGATGAGAAAAAACAATGACCCGAAAGTAGCTGGACCGTTGTTCTTGACAAAAGAGCGCTCAACAATGTTAACATTGGGGGTGCTGCGGTAAACATCCTCTGCCAGAAGACTTGGGGCAGGTACAGCAGACAGTGACACCAAGGTCCTGTCGGCTGCCAGGATCTTAGATGTGGACGTTCTAGCTATAGATACACATTGTTCAGTTTTTTGGGTTCAATCTGCCTCCCTGGGATGCTCAAAACTAGAATCATCGAAGTTTTGATGTGCATTTCCTCAATTCGACTTTGACAACAGCTTAGTGCTCTATCAAGTTTGGCTCCCAAATTTTATTGAGCTTTTGTGAGTCTGACCTGGTATGTATATCTTTTTCAATGGGTACTGGATGAAGAGTTTGGATTCCGCAGCCTGCACCTGCAAGGCAGCCAAGTCGGGTGTGTTTCGACCCAAGAAACAGTCCAGTTCCGAGCCCACTGAGCGAACCCCCTGTGCCACCAAGTGCACCTGCGCAAGCACCTAAAGTATAGGGAGCTGTGACAAGCCCAAGATCCGAACACATGGCGCAGCTTGAGGCCGGGCGGCCTTCCTTCGGCAGGCCCAGCTGCTGCGGCTGGGGGGGCTGATGCTCATGAGTTCATGGTGTTTCTTTGCTTCGTGCAGGTGGGTGGGTTGGCCAAAGATGGATCAATTTGGGTGTTGAAACCGAAGGACACTCTTGTGAAAAAGGTGAACACGGTGAACACGGTGAACCTGAAATTGAAAGGACAAACACTCCGCTTAAAAATCCTGGCCGCGCTGGGCGGTCGCTCCTCCCTGCCCCGTGGCAACCCGGAGGGAGGCAACGCGGGAGTCTTTTTTTTTGCCCCGGTCGGCAGACGGTGCACTGATCACACGGTCCGTTGGATCTAGAGGAATAGGTCAGCCCCTGTCTACCCGAGGAATCAGTGTTGGAACCTCTAAGATCATTGACAAGTGAATCAAGGAGTCGGGCATCCATCCTACACACAGTCCTCCCCTTTCGTTTTTCGACCGTAGTCGTAGTATAAGAATGCCGTCTTCATTCACCGCCAGCAGTGCCAGCAGCCCATTTGGAGCATCCCTGGCAATTTCTTCGGATGAATGAAAACAACTCTACATAGTGCCCTGAACTGATTCAAAGGCCTTCCAACCGTTTTTGTCCTTTCGCAGTCCAGGCTGCCGGCCGCGAGCGAGCGAGCGACATCGCCAACTCCTTCTTGAAGAATCGCCAACTCCTTCGTGTTCGATTCGAAGAACAACGAACACGAAGCCATCTACAGTAGCTCTAGCCCTCTTGTTCGGTCGATCTGGGGTGGACCGTTGAGCTCTGCCCTCAGGAGCCCGGTCCGCGCCACGTCTCCCGGTTCGACGTCGGGAGTCCCGGTGGGGAGACGGAGGGAGACCTGGGGGACCTGGGGGACCTGGGGTCGGTGAGGGAACGAAGAAGAAGAAGAAGAAGAATAAGAAGAAGAAGAAGAAGAAGAAGAAGAAGAGGGGATAACCCCTAGAGATGTCTATCAAGACTGGTGCCAGACACACTTGATTCCGTTTTGCCCGCGGCAAGATGGCGGAAGACCTTTTGCAGACGGCTGTGGAAGGTTTCTTTACTGGCGCTCTGCGTGTTCTGCATGTTCCCAGTTCGTTCTGATGTGGAGTATTTGAAACCGGTGTTTTGGATCAGTTACGTATCTCTGATGTTGACAAAGCATAGGAAGTATGAGGAAGTACTAGGAAGTACATGTCGCCCCCAAAGCTCCATCTACTGTTCATGGATTCCGCATCCTATGCCATTTTCAGCAAAATCTACTGAATCTACCTTGGAGAACACATCTAGCTCAGAAACCAATGAGGAGGTCGGTACTTCCCAAAAAAATCCAGTCCTTGCAGGTCCTTGGCCTGTGAATCAGAGGTCGAAAGAGGTCAAATCAACTCTGATCAACAAGACCGCCACCGATTCCCAGCAACTGCATGAGGGGAGACACCACGAAAAAGCCTCTGGTCGAAGAATGATGCACTGAAATCAGAATGGAAGGGGGAACACCAACCTCTTGAAGGAGGGACATGCTCATCCAAGGAGGCATGTTCGATTCATTTCAGGGAGTGTGTGTCATATTTGCCCGCCCAGGATTTTTGCCCCCGAATTGACTTCACTAGTACTTAGCGGTCCTTGGTCAACCTTCACTGGAATTTTGAGTGGGTTATATCGCTTCAAAGATAGCTCTCAAGCGCCCCACGTCACCAATGTCCAAAGGGTTTGGCTTGACGAACCGTTTCAACCATGAACCTGACCTTCATCGCCCCCAAAACCCCCTGCCGCCGCAGCTGTTTCGACACAGCGAGCGGGTTCACGTGCTGCGAATCCCGTGATGCTCTCAAAGAGCTTCAGCAACTTGTTTGGGGCACCTTGGCTGCGAGAGTTCGGCAAAACACAGAAGGTGTGTGGTTAATTTGAAGGATATTGCTTTTCAGGAAGGGCTAGATTCTATCCGTTTTGTACAGCTTTTGTGGGTAAACAACGATGACTGTGACATCCCACTACATCATTGTTCAGAAGACATTTGCAGGCTGAGATGTGATTGGGAGATTCAGCAGATACAAAGACTTCTGTACGAGGGATTCCCTGTGGGCTAGTTAGGTGTGGTGAAATGAGGAGATATTTCAACTGATGGGCTTCAAAACAATTCCTTCATACGTTAATGTATCACATTGCTTCTCGGGTATCGAAATGTTCGGCGCATGCTGGTCGCATGCTTCCAACGCCTTTTCGCTGCGCTCTCCAGTTGAGTTGTTGCATTTGTGGGTTTCAGATGCAAGAGATTCGGTTCCTTTTCACCTCGAACAGGGTCTCTTCCCTTCAATTCGTCCCTTCAGGGCGAATTCCCCTCCCCCCCCACCCCACGGGACGGCTTCGCCGGTGGGTTCGCTGGCTCGGGTGCGTGGCTCGGGTCGGCGCGCGCGCAGGTGGTGGATGACGAAGGCGGTGGGTGGTTGGGAGCGCGGTGGGAACCGGAGCGCGGTGGGGACGGGTGGGTGGTGGTGCGACTCCGGGTCGGTGGTTCAGGGAGTATTGGCAGAGATTCCTTCGTTTGGAAGTGAGGCCAGGGTTTTGTGGGGGTGGTGAACACTGACTGTAGGACACTGACTGTATAGAGAAGGGTTGAACTGCTTAAAAGTACGGCTACGGAATTAAATATGAAGGATACACATTGGATGTGGATGAGTGTCCAGGTCGTGAGCAAGTTCACTGAAGCCGAGTGGTAGAAAGCTGATCATTCCTGGATAAGCTATTGGTATCAAGGTAAACAAATCGGTTCTACATTAAAAAGAGGTGATGGTCCTGTAGAAATTGCCTCAAGGATTTACAACCCTTCTTGAGAAGATAGAATATGAATCAATGGGGAACACGACCAGCTTCGCTTCTTGGATTTCCCCATACTCTATGAAGCGCCCACGGATGACCAAACGAAGCGCCCAGCGGCCAGCGCCCACGGCTCACGGACCTCAAGCGACACGGACTTCGACTCACGGACCTCGCCAGAAGAAGCTCGTGCCTATGCGCTGGAGGACGTTTTGGGCTGATTCTTTGGGCTGAACATCTGGGTTTGGGCGGAAAAGTGGGCGACTTGGTAAGATAGACTGCGATATTTTGAGACTCATCATATTCAGCAGTGATGTCATGGGTGCTTGCAGGCAACGCCTTTTCGACGTGGTGTCATAGTTGCCATCCATGTTGGTTGAGGGCGGTTGCAAACAGCTATATAATATATTCCGTGAATACGTGAATTATATAATAGGACCTCGTACTAGGGTCATGAACTCCTTTGCAAAGATGGTGAGGGTGGAGTATCAGGCTCATGAAATCTACCTTCCTCAATATCCAACTTAGAAAGTTGTAGAAACCTCCAGCAAAAGAAAGTTGCTTTCCCACAGCCACCTGCTTCTGGCAACCATTGAAGGGCAGCTTGTCAATATTTCTCAAGATCAATAATATGCATCTTCAGGCATCTTTGCTCAGATTCTGAAGATGAAAGGCACTGCATGAAGCTTTCCCTGTCGACTTCGAGAGATTTGACGCATCTTCGGAGGTTTTGAAGGAGAACATCCCTCGATCTGTGCCGAAGATGTCCGACGAGATCGATCGAAGCCAGCCGGGGCCTTATTGGAAAACTTTTTTCTCATAGAGCATGATTAGCTGCATGGAAGATTCGCCTCGGCGGCAAGAAGGGACCAACTTCTGGTCAGGTTGACACTGTCACTGGGATCCCTGAGTTGGGCTGAAACAGGGGATGGCCTACCCCAACCCTCAGACCCCCAGATCCCCCAAACCTTCCGCACGCACGAGTGCGTGCGGTGCGCGTAGCTTAGCGCACTCGTCGACGCGCGGCCCAGGATGCCTTTTCTGAAGCGCGTCTTTCAGCCCAAGGCACCGGTGGTTGGATGAGAAACGACTCGTTAAGCTCCCAGATTCAAAAGGTTGGAGGCTTTTTGGTGGATTTGTTTTGTGGTGAACTTTTGGAGGCCGGGTCCGCCCACTTCTGCGCTCTTTTTGGGGATGGACCCCACTTCAGCCCTCCATGTCTTTCCGCAGGGTTTTCAGGGACGGAGCCCGACCCACACATGAGGCAGCTAAGCCCAATTCTTTGGGGGCTCAAGAGCAGCGGAGCTGCGGAGCTGCTCCAGTCAGGTATTCTTTTTGGTCGACTCATGTCCGTTTTTTCGGCCAGTTTGGTTGCCACTTTAGTTAGCCGAAAGCCTGGCGCGCACCCGCGCTCGGGGCACCAGAGACGTCGGAAGCAGCAGACGGGACCCGCTGCCGTGCCACCGTGCCGTGCCACCATTCCGGATTCGGACACAGCCTGGAAGGCAGATCCTGCACAGGTTTTAGAGAACAATCACTGAAACTCTGACGCAAGTGGACAGTCCATGGCCCCTTCGAAGACCACTCTTCTCCACAAAAGTGGTGATCCACGTACATATCGCAGCGAGTTGGAGTATCCATGCTGCATGGTCTCTTTCAGGATGGTCTCCCCATTTTTCCCCTAAAGCCTAAAAACCCAGCTGCGGGATGAAGCACGTAGCCAACGAACGACATGGTTCACTGACTTCGCCAGACCCCCTCCGAGCGTGAGTTCCAGGCGGGGTGGATGCTGGTGGTTGAAGCCGCCAGCGAAACGGTGGCATGAGGGGATTTAGACCGTTGGGATTGATACTCAGAGCCAGTTGAGCGTTTGGATCAGAGTATATGTTTTTGGTAGAGAAAAAGAACATTTCACATGTCGTCAGATGAAATGTGGCCTTCCAAAGACTGCCATGTTCCATGAATGGAACAGCATACTCTGCTCTTGCCTTTCGGCCCCACTGATTCCCACATCGGTTCACATGACTGGTCGAACATCGAAACCGAGACATCGACACTTGATTGATTGGAGCAGATGGGACCTCGGAGTGTTGATTGGAACAAGTTTGTTTGATTTGCTGCCCGCCACAGCGCCCCAGAGAGCCTAGGCCAGACGTACGATAGACCCTATACGGCCCATGTGCCAGGCGACTCTCTACACAAGGCTGGAAGCAGGCTACAACATTGCGGTGAACTGTCGGGAATCTCAGCGACCCCGCCGCGCCGCGCCGGTCGATGACTTGCCACGTCCCGCCGGTCTGGACCGACGAAGCCATGAGGGTGCTTCCGATCCAAACACATCTGGTGCGTGGAATGTTTTTCACTTCCAATGACCAATGGTGTTTTTTGTTTGTGTGTTCACCTACATGTTTCTGCTCGAAAAAGGAGGACGACGTTTCCGGGGTTGCACCTTGGTGGATGTTGGATGACCATTTCCTACTCTCACAGGTCACCGTTGGATCCGCCATTTCGATCCCTTCACGAGTCGTTTCTGTCAAATGTTTAGGGCAGCAGAAGTGGGAAGAACTGACCAGTGCACTTGGAGGCTGCTGGCTGCAGCTGCTCGACCGACTGAAAGCAGACCGCCATTTGCTCAGCCGGTTGAGGCAATGGCGCGACTGGTCTGGTGGTGGTGCTGCAAGTGGACAAAGGTCCTGGCAGCAAGTGGAATGCGGCGCCTCGGCCTGATGCCCTGCGGTTTCCCAGATGGCAGCGCCAAACATGCACGTGTGAGTCGGGTTTTCTGTGGTCAATGGGGCCGATCTGGGCGTCTAGGGCCTAGGGCTTCCTTGGCTGGGTATCCATTTGTCATGACGACCAACAGAATGTACCGGCTGAACTGGGCTTTCCGGCTAGCTCCTTCTCAGCCAAAGGGCCTCGGCCCATGCAAAACAACTTGACCAGAAGGCTCGGGGGCCCTAAAGAAGACAAGGGCAAAACACTTGAGACCAGAATTCATCACCTCTCCCACGAGTTCGCGTTGGCGACTTAGCCCAACCCCTGATCTCCCAGTTCGCTTCCGCGTGTGCACCACGTGGGCCCGGATCCTTTCGCACTCGGCTGCTTCAGATCTATCCAGACCGGCAGATCGAAGCAAACATGCGGATTCTCGAGGCAGAGCAGGGCGGAGTCGCGGGCGGAGGAGGGGCGGACTCCGTTCGGAATGTAGAGTTATATATGTCAAATACAAGAAGGTTACCTTGTTTGATTCATGTCAATGTCTGTGGTTCTGGCAAAGAATGAAAGAAACAGAAGGCTCAAAGATTTGTGGGCCCCCATACTTACCATAAGCTTGATCCACGGCCATCCACAGCCTTTTCTCACTGTTTCAACCCTTGATTCAACCAATGCGGCACGAGCACATTTCCGGTAGGTACGCTCACACATGATTTTGCCTTCGACCCTGCAAGTCCGTCATCGCCGACCTTCCACCACTTGATGTTTCTCTTCAAGTCTGAAGGTGCAAAAGAGGGCGGACGTCCTCTGACGTCCGACCCTCGAATATATAACCCTACTTCAACTCCTTCCGATCTGAAATCTGTTCCTTTTTGTTCGTTTCCCCAAGACCTGTGCCGTTCCTCTTCGTTCCTCTTCGCCCCGGGATAAACCTCGAAACTCGGTCAGGTGAACCACATCACCGACTGCTTCGAGATGATCGATGAGCTGAGAGCCTCCTCCGAGGACGTCCGGGACGGGACGGTCCGTGCCGACGTCGTCTAGGTCCGGAGCACACCGGACCTCGTCTTCGCGTGGCTTGGGGAGTGTTGGTGTCAGTGGCTTTCTTGTGGCAGAGGTTGGACTAAGGTCAAGTTACACTTGCTAGAACATGGGGCAATTTGATTCTCTGCTTTTGGACAAAACGTTTGCATCAGTCTGGAGACTGGTGTGGAGATTCCAGGGCTCTTCCCGGAAGCTCGTTGGAAGATGACTGCGGTACTCCTGGTGGCAAGTCCGCTCCGAGCGGCCTTCACCGTTCGTCGCCCTTTTCCCGGACTTTCGACCGGAAACTCCTCTGGGCCAACTCTCAGCCCACATCTCAGCCACCAACTCATCAGCCTTCATCCAAAGAAGTGACTTGTTCCTTACCAGCTCTCACTCTGGGGTTCTCCACACAGGGAGGGAGTTCCTCAGCTTCACCCCTCCATTCCGCCGATCGCCAGGCGGTAATCCGCTTCCGGCGGCCGGTCACCAAACGGCTCCTGGTGATGCGCGACCCCGGCAGTCGGGGAGCCGTGGGAGGGTGGAGACCAGGCGAGAAACCGTTGGTTTTTTTTTGCATGGTTGTTCATTGGGGAAGCCAAATGAAAGTAAGTGGGTATAAGTGGATCGAATTCAAAGTGGCAGGATTTTGCTCGGTGGGAAGGCGGTCAAAGCGTGGCAGTAAGGCGTCCTGAACGTCGAGGCGAAGCGAGGAAGAGGAATTGGTTGCGCGCACAGACTGGTAGTTCTGTGGCTGAGGGCTTCCCCCTTCTAGTTCACAACCCAAGAATAGACAGGCTTGTAGGAACCACATGGCATATGGCGTTCGTTCGCACATTGCGATGGGTTGGACGGAGCTGTCCAGGTGAACCGCACATCCTCCATCTTTCACAAAGGTATTTCTGGATCTGAGTATCTTCCCAGGTCAAGGTGGGGGATGTGCCAGACCTGGACATTCGATTGTCAGACCTGAATTTCACATGGAATGGAACACCTTTCGAGTTCAACCTTTTGGCAGATGTTTTCCACGGAACATCTTTCACTCCCTCAAAGTGAGAGAAGTGTCCCGCAAGATGAGGTGGTTAGGCGGTTGGTTGGACCTTCACCAGGGTCCATGAGGCTCCATCTGCCTGTGAACCATCGGACTCTTTGCTTCAGAAGCCTCTCCAAGCCGCCGAAGCCTGGTGCCCCGTCTGAGGCAAGCTGGGCGTGACGCTTCTGGACTTCGACGCCACGTCCGTTCCGCGCCTGGCATTTTGGAGAGAGGGTGGTGCTCCGCAGGGTGTGCGCCTTTTGGAACAAGTTTGGCACCCAAGATGGGAACCGAAGGATGGGAACCTTGGTCCAACAAGGTCATCCAATTGGATGTATTTTTGTTTGGCGCATTCTTGGTAATTCATCCAGGACACATCGAGAAGGCACCCTTAGGATCGTGTTCATCTCTCCGTCTATCCCTTCAAGCAGGGGCCATTTTGTCAGGGGCCGATTCCTCAAGAGCACACCTATCTCGTGCAAAACAAATGTTTCCAAGTCTGAGACTTCAGGTTCCGCCCTGTGTCACGCCGCGGCATGCCGCTGCAAATTTCTTTCGCCTTTCTTTCGCCAGGTGTGGGTGGATCAAGTGATGACCTCCGGCGCTGTCTCGGAGTGGAACGAGCAAAACCCCTTGGAGAAGGCGCTGTGCGAGTGCAGTGGGCACGGAGTCCGGAGACCTTGTGGCGACTTAGGGTGTTTCTTGGGCGTGCACAGTCAGGTGACGATGGAACTGGATGGCCTCGTTCTTTTAGAGAATGGTGGTCTTGCACCCTAACATTGTAGAAGTGAGTCTGGAAGATGATGGTTTTCTAGCAAAGCAAGTGCATTGTTCAGAACCGGGGATGGCTGTGAGTTTGGGAAGCAGGCCACCAACAGGAATCATGTGGGACGCGAGTGCCGTGAGTTGCCTGTGAGTGCCGTGTTGGACCCCAAAAGTTGATCCAATCGAGATGGGAAGACTAACTGAAAAAGGGCCCGGACACGAGGCTTGGCCGTGCCAGCTACTGATGCATCACACACCTGGTTTGCCATCACAGGCATCCACCGGGAGCAGCTCTGAAAACTTGTTGAGGCGATCTGTGGGAACCACCTCTCAACAACTCCACAGCGAATTTCCTCCCACCACCCTCTCCGGTGACCTCGTGCCGTCAGATTACCACCGGGACAAGGATCTTAGAGGCACGCGAACGTCTGCGGCCTGGGTCGGATGACGTGGATGACGTGGGCTTGTGTGACCGAGAGCCACGTATGAGAGATTTCTTTCAAGTTGGGAAAAACGGCTGGATTGGACACGAAACTCTGCTTGGGAACCCGAGAAATGCACCAACCATCTCTGGATTCGGAGCAAGGCTGAGCAGTCAATTAGTTGGTATCTGCATTTTCTTCAACTTCTTGTCTGCTGGACCATAGTAAAGGGCAGCATTTCATGTATATATCTATCAATTGAACCTTGTTGGGAGGTTTCAACAAAACACATGTGGTTGTCTTACTTGCAGCAGAGATGGGTTTGGCACAATCCGTAGTTCAGTCTTTTTCTAGGTAAACCTTGGTGAAGGGCAAGCATTTGTGTGAAGCCAAACAACATGAACATATAATAACATAGCAGAGTATACTTGTCAGAGGGGCCGCTAGTAGCAGGTCTGCGGATCGTCCCTTTGCTTCCAAACAGATGCACGTTGCTCGCCGACATCGTCCACAAACTCCCACGTTGCCCCCGCCGCACCAGGTGAACGGCGTGAAGGGCAACGTGCATCGGATGTACGAAGCGTTGAGAAAGGAGGGTGTGCTGGAATTGGTGGTGCCTCGTCCAATGAACTGCTGTCGACGGATGTACCACATGTACGACGGTCGAACTCTCGGATGTTCCGTTCCTGATGAGACATGAAAACGACCGCTACTCGAAGCGGTTTACTGTAAAAGGCGACTGATGCATTTTTCTCTCATGTTCCCATGCACGATATAACAGGTGAGTCATCGATTCGAGTGCCTCAGGTGGAATCCCATGGGCCTGAGACGGCCAACCGCAAGGCCAGTCGAATCGGAGTGGTTGGTCGAGTGGGTTCAGCTGCTTCTTCTCTAGCCTTACTAGATCTCAAGTTGCGGGGGTGCTTAGATGTGCTTAGTACTTTTGAATGAAGAAGCTAAGGGTTTTAAGTGTAGTCAGTCCTTGACTGCACTCATTCTTTGTAGGCACCCTCCTGGAAATCATTCTTCCTCCTGTCTTTTTAGTCGCACCATTTCTATTGACGACCAGATTTTAGCATTTTCTGCTACTTTTTTGTCCTGGCACAACATATCTCTCACAAAATGTCTGGTCATTTCGGAACAGATCAATCCTGATGGACATTTGAGGGATTGGCCGCCAACCTGTGGACCCGCCAGGAGCCTGCGTCTGAAGGATGGTATCCCAGGCACCTTCGCAGAACGGCCTGGGTTCGGAAACGGTCTGGGCGGCCAAAGAATGTGTTTAGGTCTAAAGTAGTTCTCCACAATTTGAGAATGTGGAACATGGCCAACCCTAGGAGTGAAATGGTCTATGTGAATGTTGAGAGAATAGTGTGAAATACATATGGTCTTTTCCGTGAGGTTGTGCAAACTTGAACACTTGCACATCCTATGTTTGAAAAGTCTTTCATGGTCTTCTAAGCTTTTTTCAGTGGCAACCTAGGTTTTGGAGATAGGTTTCAGTCATTTGCAGAAGGCTTCCAAGCATCTCAACTTGTGTGGAGGATCAACAGCACGAATAGAATTCTTCATCGTGGCTCTCTCCTTTTTGTGCGGTGCTCGCCACGTGGCGAGGCCAGTGTCCATGAAGAAGTTGGGGCTCTGAGCTTCTCGAAGTGTCCGGTGCACCGTGGTCCCGGTTTGCGCGTCTTTGGACAGATTATATCCTAGTCCTAGACTAGAGTTGGAATCAGGAAGATGTAAGATTTTTCAATGTTTGTCCTTAGTCCAAGATGAGTCTATTTTTATAATACAATAGATCTATTCCAGAGTTTACCCTTTTCATGGTGTCTCATCCGAAACACATTCTGATCCGGCCCGATCCGGATGGAGCTGAGCCCTTTTAAGTATGGTCAACGAGACCATGATTCTGGTTGCTCAAGAGACAAATGCAAATTCACTGTCTGGACGCACGGAATCTGGTTGCATCTCAAGGACTCTCCTCAACTTGCATGGTCAACACGCTCATCAACCCACGGTAAAAAAGCCTTCCCGCCCCACGGGAATCTTTCGAGAAATGCTCCTGCAAAGCCACTCGGCCCAATGCCTGAGCGAATATTAGCTGGGCCAAGTACATGTGTTCAGTTGCCCGTGATCGGTGCCCTTGCAATGTGATTGATTTGGACCAGAACCCTTACAGAATCGAAATCGTAACCCTAGACATATCCAATATCTGCAGTACATAGGGATGTTGATGTTGTATGGGACCCCATATTGATGCAAGCTTTTCCTTTCTTGGCCACGGCTTGATTTCAGCCGAGCCTTCCAAAAAGAACCGGGACCCGCCCTTCCATCTGCCACCTGCGCTCCGCGCGGTCCGCGCGCGCGGACCGCGCGGACGCCGTGTTTACACCGGTTCGTGCGGCACCTGGCAAAGCCATGCTGGCCGCTTAGAGCGTGAAGGCGAGAGTGAAGGCGTGAGCGACCACTCCTGGAGAGAAGGTGTGAGCAGAGAGAGACTGCCAATGCACTTGCAAGTTCTGGGAAAGGCGTGATGGATCATGGAACTTGATACAAGGAGGCCCAGAGGCAGGTTCCCAAGAATGAAGATCCTATCTACTGTAAGCTGAAGAATGCAAGTGTAGGTCTGCACATACCATTCTGATGGTTCCCAAGCTGGACACCCGTACTCAAAAAGGGTTCATCATAGGATCCTCAAGAAAGAAGCGTTTTGAGGCTTTTGAGCAGAGGCCTGTCTTCTTCTTTTTGTTTTGGATACTTTCATCAATCATGTCAAGCCCTCTCTCGTGGTGGAAGAGGTGAATTTTAGGGTCGAGTCATCACTTTGGAGATACCCCAAGCATAGATGGCCCTATACTTGTACCAATACCTATTGGTTGGTTGATTAATAGAGGGGATCCCCCAAGTGAACCACCGATATCAAATATCGTCCCAAATTGACTCCTCTATTATTCCAAAAAGGACATCATTGACTCCAAGCATGCCAAAACAGGCTGGTCCTAAGCCCGTTTCCCTCTGGAACGGGGCTTTTCACGCCACGCCCTCACGGCTTCGAGGATTGCCGATGAAAAGGGGGCGACCGCAGAGTGATCAGGATTTATTACACTCCCTGAAATACTCATGGGTCAATGTGGATGGCATGGCCCCCGTGGATGACCATTTTCCTCACCGAACAGGTGGGTTTCCACTTCTATGATTATTTCAGGGAGTGTAGGGCTTTTGGAATGAATCACCCAAACATGATTTTTCTTGCACGGAGCCAACCTGGACCGACCCTAAAGGCCAGTTGAGTGGTTTAGTAACTCAAATCAAGGGCTTGAACTATGGGCTTGATACTTGTTTTTGTAAAAAAGCGCACTGCAGATGGACCAATTGCAGAATTGTGCCAGAATCTGGCCACAAACAAACGGCCAGCGTACCTCAGACATTTTTCCCTCTAAATCCAGCGTACCTGGGGGCTCGACGTTGGTGACACACACTGCTTGAAACAGCCGAAGCATGCTGGGTCGCCACCAGATTCTTGACAGAAGACAAAGGGGGGAGGATCAAATACTGTATCCATCCTTCATGGGGAGTATTTTCGGGATCTGATCACCAGGAAAAGACCACTCCCTCTCTCCTTCATTTGTAGCACTTAGCTTCCACCTTCGTCCCCGAACCGGTAGCACTTAGCTTTCATCAACGGGTGAACTTGGATGAATGGCTCATCCTTGGACTCATCTCTCCACCTGAGACCATCCGGATGGTCGCTGGGTGCTGCTCGGACCGAGCACGGCTCAGGCAGGCGCGCTTGCTGTCCACGCCAAGGACGACGAACTCGTGCCTTGATTGATGAAGGATATCAATGGGAGGCAGTAAATCGCATGGCGAGTTTCTCAGGTGTTCCTCTTTGGGTTAGCGTTGATTTCTGAAGCCAAAAAAGTGTCAATAGTAGTTGAAGACCATGATTTTGCAGACGGTTTGTGGAAAGGCCCTGAGTGGGTTGCTAGAGATCGTTGTTGTGCCGAGCTGCAATAGAATTTGTTTGGTAAATTTGGCTTACTGTAACTTGCTGTGCATTCGTTTCGAATCTGACCAGTACAAACACAGATCGCCTTGTGATGCTAGAGATCCTTTTGATCTGTGTCCGACCGATCTGAACACCACCGAAGCTTCAGCAGCACAGACTCGTTGTGTTTCTTAAGCCAACGAGTCGGACGCCTTGGCCGCTTGCACTGCTTGGCGTTGCCTGGGGACCAATGTGGGTCGGGTCAACACCTGAAGAAACCCAGTTGACCGAGTGCTCGGACCGACCACTGGTGGAGGTTGACACCCGGGTGGGGCCCTTGCCGGGGTGAGAGGGGCCTCCGGAATTGGGACACCCCACTTTTCTGTGGCAGAAGAGGATGGATGCTAAAGGTCCACGACTTGTGCTCTTAGCGAGCTCTGAAGAGCCGTTGCTCACTGTGCAGAACCGCAATTGCGTGAGCCCGACCTGTGCACCCCTTGGCTGCAGGTCTTGGAGCTGTCACACCGGCCAGTCCTTGGTTTTTGCAGGGACACGACGGGTGAAGCTGGTTTGGGACGTCGGGTTGGCGACGGACACTGACTCCCATCGTCCCAAGGGTGGAGTTTTGTTTTGTTTGGAACTGGCGACCATCGGGGGCGGAAGTCAATGCTCATCCCCCAATTCAAGACCTCATGAGGAAGGCATTGGTCTTTCATCTTGGAGGTTACCACATATGATCTTCAGCTTTACTGACGTTCCATCTCCCCAGTCTTTTTGTTCAGCATCCTCCCATCAAAACTTCTCCGCTTCCAAAGCGATCGATCGAATGGGTTTCCCCTTGAGTCAAGCACTGGCCACTGGTTGGTAGCGGGAATCGTCTAACCAGCCTAGTTTCTTTCATCTTCAACCCATCCACAGAATCCCGCGTGTCCAGATGTGTCCAGCACCAATCACAGACCAGGTGATTTTTGTAAACCTCCCAACACTTGGCGAATTGAGATGAAATTCTCAGCATCTCATCCTTGTCTGGTGTCTTTTTTGGGGTTGAGCTGCTGCTCAACATCTCAAAAAACTCAGGATCTTGATAAGCTATTCAGGTGGAGGCCATCGCTATTGGGAACAAGAAGCTATATGGAGGCCATCGCTAGAAGCTTTGTTGGGGAATCGTTTCACTGGATCCAATTCTCCGACCGCCCAGCGTCTCGACCGGCCTCGCCAGGCACCTCGATTGCCACGCCGGAGACGCACCGCAGCCGGCCGAGCTTCTCCCCGAGCCAGCGGCACCCGGTGGAGGGGCCGGTGAGGGGGGGTGGGGGAAAGTGGAGGATCCTATTTGGGCTCACATCCGGATCCTCAGTTCAACTTCATCCTCATGGAGTTATGTAGCTCACACATGTCAGCTCTCTTGCAGATTTGTGACTCTACGAAAAGAACCGATATGTGCTCCAGCCTAAGTTAGCTCTTTCCATTCAAAAAAGCACTCGAGCTGGGCGCGCCTGGAACGACCGGATACGATTCTCCAATAGGCAGCTCTAGGCAGCTCCACCGAGGCCCAGATGCCTTTGCTGACTCGGAGTTGGCCCGGGATCTCGGGTGTTTGAAAGAGTGCTTCTTCTGGTTCTTCAAAGTGACCTTTTCATCCCTGGGCTTGAGGTCACTTAGACTTAGGCCTGTAAAATAGGTCACTGACAGAGACTCCAAAAAGGTCACGAACTGAAGAAGCTGGCTTGGACTTGCATGTTTCTTTCATTAAGATTACACGACTACCACAAGACCGGTTTTTTGGGGGTGACAGAGGTCGTCCAGATGGTCGTCCAGATGGTCCAAGTGAGCCTTCATCGACACATCACAATCGGTTGATCTCGATGATTTGACTATCTTGATCCCTGATATATGTTGCACAAGCCTCGTTTGGAGAGACTTTGCCGCCGAGAGACGCGAGACTGTCGATGAGATGGAGGGATGTTGCAGAAAAAAGACATGTTGGCCACTTCATGTCCGGGATCGAGGAAGCGGTGATGCCGGGTGCCTCGTGCAGTGCCTCGACATTGAAATCCCTCGATTCGACATTGTTCCACATCAATATCATCAATGTCATTTCTGCGATTTCCTGGGACCCTCCCTGGACCCTGCCACCTTGGTGCCCCTGGTTTTCATCTTTCACAGTTTTGCGGTTTTGCGGTCCTTATTGTACATCATCCTTCATCCGTACAGGCAGGTTTTAAACTACAAGATGGAGCTTCATGTTATGCCTTAATTGGAGATTGTTTGGCTGTGTGCAGGTCCGCGGAAAGGTTCTGGAATGTTTGACATCCACTCTTGCAGTGCTTCCAGCCACGGTTTCACCATAGGATATCCTGATCCTAAAAGGACCCCAAAGAACTGCCCTGGAAGTCCCATCGACTAACGGTGTACTTCGGTGACCTGAAGTTCGGAGGGGAGATCATACACCGTCCTTCGTCGCAGAGAAGGACGGAACTCGTGGGGAAGGGCTGTGTTAGAAGAGGCTCGCTCTGTGATGAAACCGCTTCGAGGAGCTTTCCTTAGAGCTCGTGAATCATGTGCCGCCCGGGGCCCAAACAGTCGCCCGTACGAGGCGTTGACCTGACGAAGAACGCACGACAGGCGTTGACCAAAAAGACACCCGATCCACGCAGGGCTGAGTTTGTCACGTGTGATCCTCTTCCTGCCTCATGAAATGAGAGAAATCAAGTCCTGAAGATCACACACCTGGTCCCCTTCTTCGTCTTCAGTGTTGGGAGCAACCTCAGGTTTCCAGGTTGCCAAGGCATGTGAGGACAACCAGCGGCTTGTGCACCAGTCGCACCAGTTGCAACATCCAAAACCCGCTGGCCATGCTTTCCCGGCGGCACGGACGCCCGATCCAACGATTCAACGATGCCCTCTGTTTTGAAGAAGGGCAGCCGCACTTCTCAATTTAGATCTAACACTGCACGTATTTTCAAAAGAAGCTTTTCAACAGAAAGAAGCGAAACGAAACGAAACGAAAAAACCAAAACGAAACGAAAAGAAAAGACGATCTAAGATCTGCGATGATCTACGCACTGTGATTGTTTTCTCCTTCGACCCCCTCGGTCTGCGGCGCGCCGGTCGGTCCCCAGGCCGGGGGTCGCTGACCGGCTCATGGATCGGCCGCTTGGGCGTTGATGGGCGTCGAGTTCGACGCGGATTGTTATTTTTGTTTTTTGTTTTCTATTTTTTTAACGATCAGGCGTTGAATGGACAATGGTTGAGTTTGGGGGGAGGAACTGTTTTTTTTTGTAACACGCAAGGTTGTGTAGGGGTTTACTTGAAGATCCTTGGCTTGTTGAACCAGGTAGGTAGAAGAGCAGTTGGTGATTTTGGTGGATGAACTGGTGACTTTTGCCTTGATGTTCTCTGGTGTTATTGAAAGCAGTTGAATTTCCAAGCCATACTCGACTTGAACCCCTTGGGACCACACCCTGCACGCGGGCGATGCGCGGGCGATGCGCAGATACGGATGGGAGTGACATCAGATCCACCGGGGTGAAGAAGAATGTGGACTCACACACTCTGACGAACACATCACATGGGAGTGGAAACTGGTCCCGAAAGGAAGACTACTTTCCGAGTGGGAGCGCAACACTTCTGTTATGAAGGGGTTTTATGTACAATCCGTGTCAGGGGGGGTTTAATCAATCAAGAGTCTACATTAATGATCATTCGCCTATGGAAGCCACCAGCGAAACAAATTTGAAGAAGGACATGCAATTGCCAACCGGTTCGGGTCCAAATCAGAGATGACACTTGTGCATCTCAGAAACACATCTTGAGCTGTTCAAGACCTCGCGCAACTTGTGGACACCATCCCATCAACCCACCCTCCGAGCCACCACATCCAAAGAGACACCCTCTCATGAAACAGAACCCCCAGAGAAACTGAACCCTCCATCAGGTCCATCAACCTACATGACCAACTCTCCCCATTCACCGGTCCAGCACCTCTCAGTCTGAGCGGCTTCGGCACTCGCTGCTCCGCCGAACGTCCGAGGCTGCGAGCTGCCGAAGCGGCACGGCAGCTGGTGGAGGCGGGATCCGAAGCGAGAACCGGATGCGGTCGCCGGATGCTGTCGCCGGATGCGACGGCGAAGCGAGTGGTCGATGTGACGAAGGATGGCCAGGCCGTTTAAGGCCGTTTGATGCGGACTGGGTTGCTTGAGGAAAAAGGAGAGGGGATGCCTTGGAGGTGAACAAGCAATATGATATATGGTCTCAAATCGACCCCTCTATTTATTCCCAAAAGGACATTGACCTTCAGTGTGACTGGATTTCACATGGAGGGATGGGATGGGAGGACTCAATTTCAGGGTGGAAGATTCACGATCATTCGATCATATGAAGTCGTGATGTTTTTCCTGCCCATACAGAGCTTGGCCCTGCATTGGATATTGCAAGCACAGGGAAGTCATGAGGAGGAAAGCTGAGTTATTCATGTTGCTGTGTTGCTTTTTGCCTGGGATTGGGCTGCTAGTCTTGTTTGTCTTCCGAAATTTTCATGGTAAGATGTGACTTCTTGCCGCCTGCACAGACGGAAGTGACCGAGCACACACAGAGCAGAACTGCTTGGAACCAGAGGGATTGATCTACAAAGTCTGTCGAAAAGCAACTTGCGCCAGCAAAGCAAGTCAAGGACAATTCCGCGCTCATGCTGCTTTTTTTGCGGGACATCAATTCTTCCAGAATTTGCTTGCATGTCGCATGTGCCAGAGTGAGAGAGATATACAGAGGCTTCTATTTGGAAGGGTGGAACTCAACAATTTTGCTGGATCACAGCCACTTTTGCACATTTCCCCTTTGTTTTGTGTGCCAAGTTGCCTCGGGCCAGAATCGATGTCGAGAAGCGGAAGAAGGCAGCCAGCCGATTGGCAACCAGGACCGGGCCAACCAGGGAAGTTGACAGCGTTGCACGTTCTGCAGAAAGGGCTGTCACGACTTACAAAGAGAAGGGGGTGCAAAGGCTTGTGCTTGGCGTGGGGGACAAAATGCACAGGATCTGTTAGTGGCATTCGATTTCGATCGTTGAAATTGAGGACCTGAACAAGCTGGGCCTCAACAAGCTGAAGTCTCCCTATTTCGAGATACCACGACAGATGCAAGTACCCCTTTGAGACAGTCTCATTCCAGCAGATTTCTTCGAAGGTCTGATTGGTAGATACCTGGTAGACCCCAACTCCCGATGAGTCTTAAGATTTCATGATTGATATCAATATCTGAAAACCCAGTCCCAACCAGGAAGAGTTCTGGATGGAACATGATGGAACCAACTCCCCAGTCCCAGCCATTTCCCATTCAAGGAGTGATTCATGGCCATATTGGAACAACCAGCTAGTCGCGTTTTGTTTCCGGTTCTTTCTTCGAGTTGCTAGTCGCCTCGCGTGGCCGCCCACTCCTGACACTCTCCCCAAGTCGCGCGACTCGCTGTTGTGCCCGCACGAAGTGTGCGACTCGGCTGGGGAGACTCACTTGTTGTTGCCGAGACTTGGTATAGATCCTTTGGCCAACCGTTTTGTTCAGTGCGTAGCTCTGTACAGGTTGGAGAAGATGCATGGTTTTTGCACCACCCATCATGCCCTGGATTCAAGTGCGAAGGGAATTAGGCCAACTTGCCAAACCCAAGCCTGAACGTGTAGCAGAAGCCTTAAAAAGGGGGCCTGACTTGTGGTTGCTCTGACTGAACCGGTTTTCGTGCATTTCCTCGTCGTACAACTGTTTCACAGTTTCAGTCCGCAGTCCCACCTGCTTGTACTCAGGTGTCCTTCATGGAGGGCGGTCAAAGGACCGCCCTCCTGCGGTCCTTTTTCGTTCATCCTCCTAGGGTCCACGAGTGGAACGTCCCCTTTTTCTTTTTCTCCCTGGCATCCTCCCAGGAGGTGATGGTTCTTAGCGACGCCTGGCTCAAAGAAAAAGGCTTCAATTTGGGCGTGTGCGCTACTTGGCACAAACTCTGGTCGAGTTTGGTTTGCTCTTCTCAGGAGCCATCGGGTTGGAGACCTTTCCGCAGCTGCTTGGAGACCCTCCAGGGTGATATGGGAGGGGGTTCTGTGGAAGCTTGGATGGGAGAAACTAGGTGGGGCCAAACCCGCCGCTACACAGCAAGAAGACCAAAACCACAAACAGAATTGATCTCTCTCTCTCTCTATATACTTATTTGATGAGTTTCCTTTTATTCGGTGCTCAGTTGTTTGGTGTAAATTCCTTATCGACACTGAGAGAAGCTTCAAGTTTCTCATGGCCATGGCCATGAGAGACTGAGAGAGGAGAAAGGGAATTCGAATCTTGTTTGGTGGATGGAAGATCCGTGATAAAAGAAGATGCGACAGGGCCCGAAAAACAGCCTGTGGCTCTTGGTATTGCACATCCACATTCGCGCACCATTTCCAGTTTCTTTCGTGGCACCAATTGTTTGGAATGAAGCAAGGCATCGATGTGATTCATTGACGTCTTTTTCCCTTGTAAAGCACTTTACCCTAGCACTTCATCCGACAGCAACTGAGATCCTTTGATCTTCTCTGGTAGATTCTAGCGATTCGGCGTTTCGTGCGTGAGTAGGTGAGTAGGTGAACATTCCTTGCAACATCGTTCCTGTTTTTTGGGATGTGCGTATCGCGGGGGGTGCCCCGTGAAGATGTCACGAATCAGCTTGCCATAGGGTGTTCTGTTCTTGCCCAGGCTTGCCATGGTTGCTGGGGATCTTGATCTTCCTCTCAGTGCAGGCGGGCTCATGAGACACTCTTTTTGTGATCTTGAAAGCTCCTTTTTCGGCAACTTCTTGGGGCGACCCAGCGGCTCCAGCGTGTTCGAAATCAGAGGGGCTGTTCTTACGAGCCCATGGGTCAAATGAGCTCTTCATGCTGCATCGAACGGTGACCCCCTGATGGGGACCATGGTCGAGGCCTAATGAAAGATGTTTGTTTGACCTCGTCAACACGAAGCTCATAAAGACCTCAGAGAGAAGTTACCAAGCAGTTTCCATCACATGGGTCACCAATCAACAGAAGACCCCTAACTAGCCATGGCAAGCCGACGGCTCATTCCACCAACTGCAATCCAAACACACATCAGTGACACAAAGAAAAGCTTCAGTAAGTCGCATAGAAGAACCTACCCAACGCACGATGGGATGCTCCGAAAGCATCGCTTGCTTCGTCCATGCCTGTGGTTCCCCGTTTGGGCTTTCCACTTGAGAGCCTTCATGGGCACCACCCTGGGTGGGGCTTCAAAGCCCCACTCTCCGCGTGGTGAAGGGGTGACTCGACGTGCGGGGCTGGTGTTGGTGCCGCAACTGGTCGAGAGCTGCTACCAAGCCTTGGCTGAAAGCAACTGCATCCCACGGAAGCCCGGCTTGTTTGCTCTCCGAATCCGCCGAACAGATGTGCGTTTTCAAGTCCATTTATCGTTGGCCTCCCAAGGTGAGCAGGCCGAAGGCTGGGTTGACCACTGCGGCGGGGCGGCGGTCCCTTATTTTTCGTTCAACCGCACCAAACCTCCTCCTCCTCCTCCTCCTTCTGCGGGGTGTGTGTGGTGGCACACACCGTGGGGGACACCCACAGACCAGGAAGTGGCACCCGGAAGGGCGCTACGGCATCCCCATCGAGCGGATCGACTGTGGGGACTTCGCGGGGAAGCGCTTCATTCCTTTGCTGCCGGGTGCCGCCGATCGGTTGCCCCAGGCCGGTGGGGGGTGGCGGGTGGGGGGGGCTGCGGTTCATCGCGGTTCATCGCGGCAGGCAGGAGGCGGGTAGTTGGTTGGAAGAACGGGCACCGCGACGTGCGAGACATCCTTATGGAGACCTGGCGAGTGGTAGATCAACGTGGATGCTATTGAATCTCTTCACTTGCATGATTTCGGGCTGAAAGAGCCAGGATCTATAGACAGATATTTCTAATTATTCGGCCCTCAAAACGGGCAGATTTCATTTTCTCCAGCACGGAGGAGATCCAAGAGCTCTTGAAGGCTCAGAAGGCCCTGGTGGTGTCTCTGAATTCTACCAAGATGGCGCGCAATGGCATTGTGACTTGAACATGAACCAATTCAGCAAATTGTCTTGTGCATCGTCAGTCTTTCTGGCAAACTTCCCTGGGCTCAATGTGTTTGCATCTGAAGAGTTACTGTAGACTTCCCACTACCAACTGCTGAAAGCCTTCCATCCATCTCCATCCCCATCCCTCCATCTGTTGTGTTTCTCAGAGGTAGGCCTTCAAAGCGCTGGACCGGGACAGGGACTGACAGGGACCTCACATGACCCCACCCTCAGACGTTTGTGGCGCCCAGGAGTGGCAGCCAGGTCGTGACAAGCCGGTCGCTCCACCCATCGATGCTCGCACTGCCAGCATCCCTCGATTGGACGAAGAGATCAAGGCTGGCGTCATGACGAAAGTCAGTTTCCTTCCTACTGAAGATGGCCTCCACCCTGCGATGGCCTCCTACCTAGTAGCGATGGCCTCCCACTTAGTCCTTTTTCATGCGTGGGGATTGTCCCATCACATATAGCTCCCCGACACGGAGCTGAACAATCACGATACAAATTCGATGGCCTGTTCGTTGCGGCTACCACTCTACCAGGAAACGGGTTTCAAGGCCAAATCCCACTGGTTGGAATCAGATGGCCCCCTGATTCCTTGCGATAGTAAAGGACAACACCGTTCTTCTTTTTGATCCTTCTCATGAACTTCTCTTTCATGTGAATCTGATCCATCCGATCCTTTTTGTCCTGTGATGAGGCAGGATCCAATTTTCCTCTCCCTCCGTCCCGGCCTACGTTCGTAGCGTCCGATCGCTCCTAGTAGCGATGCCCTTTGTTACTAGTAGCTTCATGTAGCTTCTTGTTACTAGTAGCGATGGCCTCCACCGAGCATAGCATCCGATCGCAGGAATGCCAGGAGCTACGTCCCGGCCTGCATCGCCCCACGTCCTCGCCGCTCTCACCGCCCTCACGTCCCGAGGTGCCGCGCTTCGGCTTCGCCGAGCTCTTCGCGGGGCTCGGCGGCTTCCGCGTGGCGCTGGAGGCGCTGGGTGGCGAGTGCCGCTTCGCCTCGGAGATCGAGCGCTTCACGCGGCAGATGTGGCGCGGAGATCGACGTGGCGGTGGATGGGTCGTGTTTTTTCCCCGGAAGCTGGGTGCATCCATGGGGAAGATGTTTTTTTTGGGGGGACCTGGACAGCAAATTCAAGATGTGGGTGGAGAAAAATGGAGAAAAGGTGGAAGACGTGGTGGCGATCGGTAGAGCTCAGGCGTGACTGAGGTGATAGGACGAGCTCAGGGGTGGTGGAGTTGGGTCGAATCTGTGCAGTTTCTGGCAGTTTGACGAAGTTGGAAGGAAGGAGGCGAGGCGTGGGGTAGAACAATCTGGAGAAGTTGTCCAGTGCAGCCTTGCTGGTGAGGTTTTGTGACACTTGAGCCTCCTGGGGCAACCACAAAGCCGTTTTTACTGAAGGAGGGATCCCAAAGATGAACTCTCTTCATGACGAGGCCCTACAAGTCCAGTTGGGGCCAAGTTAAACCTGGTCTGACTGACCTCATTGAGGACTGGTTTTGCATGACCGATGACTGTGACTCTCTTCTCCGATACCAGGCAGGTACAACGCCAGGCAGGTCCGCTCTCCAACAGCATTACCACCCAAAAACAAAGTTCAACAGGATTGGTCGGAGTTGTTTGGGGAGAACCAAATTCAGGTTTGATTCTTGGGCGAGAAGGAGGTTTCCCCTCAAGCCCGCGCTCTTCACTTCTGAGGTACGAGTTGAATTTCGGTGCCACTTCGCCTCCGGTGGCGGGGGACATTCGCGAAGTACCGGATGCAGACCTTCCGGAGGCGCAGTAGGGTCCGTTTTGGCCGTGTTTTACAAGGATTTGGGGGGTCTGGCCGTGTTTTTGCTTGGGTCTCTTCTTCGAAGGACTTCCTCACTTCCATCCTTGAGCAGAGAAAAAATAGCATCCCAGCCGTCCCAGCCTCCCCACAGCCCCCTCGCCACGGACCTCGGAGGTGGACCTTTTGGTGGCAGGGTTCCCCTGTCAACCCTTCTCGGCCTTGGGCTCTCAGCCGGCCTTCGAGGACGACAAAGGCTTGCTTTTTCGAGAGATCGTCCGAGTTTGCTGGGCTGAACTCAACGAATGTGGATGTTTTTGGATCCTTTGTGTCTCTAGATTTCTTTCGCACAGGGCACAGGGCCAACTTTTTTGACCTTCTTTTGCCTCCAACTTTTGGACCAAACCAAAGCTGGTTGACCTCCGGACCCTTTTCTCGGGCGTTTCCATCGCCGGTTGCTTTCGGCCCGGCCTCGGGGACTTCGGGACTTGTTCTTCTCGCTCTCGCTCAGGTCCTGAATGCCTCGAAGGCCAAGAGTTTTTTGCTGGAAAATGTGCCAGGGTCTCGTGGCGTGACGAAGAGTTTTACTCTCTCTCTCTCTCTCTCTCTTCCAGTGAAAGACCCATGGACATGACATTCTTGAAATGCTTGATGATGGTTTTTGATTGCATTCCATGATCCTCAAGAGTTGTTGTTTTTCTGATTCATATTTTTCAAACGACAAGAACAGGACCCTTTTACTGAACGACTTGAAGGGCTGGCATGGTTCAACGGATCAATTGCGGGGCTCATCAGAGTTCAGGGAGTGCACCCAATTTGGTGATCCATCTGTCACCAAAGCTGAAGGTTCTGGAAGTTCGTTTTGCTCGTGATAACTGGATCCACTGGCTTGGTAGAGCTTATCTCGGTCAACAGCTGGGTGCATCAAGAATAATGAGGATGTTTGGGAAAATCACGATTTCTTGTTGAGATTAAACCATGGTGGTGTTTGGATGTTTTGCTTTACTATGGCCTTACTATGTATACCTCTACCAGACATTTTGAATCCCTGGCTTTGAGGCTTCTGGACTGTGACGGGGGCCGGGCCCTTCAGCAGATCCAGCACGAGCTGCAAACGGTGGGCCTGCACGACGGCCAGCCGGGCTATGCGGTGCATGTGCGGACGGCGAACGCGCGCAACTTGACGGCGCAGTCGCGGAAGCGGGTCTTCTTCTTCGGGTTTCGGAAGGACTTGGAGGCAGATGGGAGAGTTGATGAGGGATGGGATTTGAGAGGTGTTATGAGAGATTGAAGAGAAACCGGAGCCGATCGATCATTAGTGGCCTGTCTTCGACGAACTGGAAAGCACTGTGCGCATGGTTTCTGCTTCGGAGTTGCTCTTTCTTTGGAGCTCACCAGAGTCCTTTTTGATTGGTTCGTGACCTCAAGGGTTGCATCGATCATGACAGATTACGTACCCAGAAGACATCCACAATGCACTTCCACCCCGTGGCAGACTGCGTTTCGTCACGCCACGCTCGACATGTGAACCTTGATGGGAAGCCCCACTCCGGCAAATCGATCCACATGACTAGCTCTTGACGCAGAAGTCACCCAACAGGTGTCCCTGGTGGCTGTGAAATCATGGTAAACGAGTTCGAGGTCATCCCTGAAATACTCATGGGCCAACGTGGATGGCATGGCCCCTTTGGAGAGAACCTCTTTTTCAGACCAAACAGGTGGTGAACTCACTCCGCTTCCGCTTCAGGTGCCGGAATCGGCACTCTCGTGTCTTCGAGAACGCGCTCGCTATCCAACCATCACGAGGTCGCTCTTCACCAGGGATGCACATGTTTGATTCCCCGTCAGGGACTTCCTCCTGCCCTTCACAGGCGGCGCAAAAGCCCTTCACCTTGCCCTTCATCCCCGAGCTCCAGCTGCGTGCCGGCGACATCTTTGAGCCTGAGTCCAAGGCGCTGCCGGTCGTCGCAGGTGGTCGGTGGAAGCGTTCTCTTTAAGTTAACGTATTTTTGTTCCCTAGCTAACTTAGCATCAGCAAGATTTTGTGCAGATGTGAATTGAGGTTGGTGGAGGGAATGGTTACATCCAGACATATGAATAGAGATGGCTTCTTCTTATCCAGAGCATCGCTACATCGCAGATTTCACGGCGCGGGGCGCAGGAGTTGGACATCTACGAGCTCAGCGAGGAGCACTTTGAAGGTCTCAAGGAGTCGCAGAAGTGGGCTCGACGAGGCGGAGTGGTGGAGTGGAGTGCGTGGAGCGGGCAATTTCCAGCAGTGTTGTGTGGATGAGGTGGATGAGTTGAGGGCTCAAAATGCTCACAAGGAATCAATGAGCAGAGTCTGCAGAGGAATAGAGAGCTTCTTAGTGTCTTGAGTCCCGAGTGCAAATTACTGGCTTGCCATGTGTTTAGACTTGCACAGACATATTCAGTTGGACTACAAGTTGACCCTTGAACACGGATCTTCCTTTAGCAGCCAGTGGCTTTGTTCTTTTTTTTTTGAGGGGGTCTCCATCCCTCAGCCCCCTTGGTACTTGTAGACTCCGGCAGGTGGCATGACCGACACCTTGGCCTGGGAAGAGAAAGTCTGCAATACCTTGGTGGCACATTATGGCACTAGTCCCCCAGATGAGGAGATGAGGGCCGTGCTGGTGGGACGTGCGTGGCTGGTGAGCTTTTCACTACGACGAAGATCAGTGGGGCAAAATCCAAAGGTCATCACCTGCTCGTAGCAGGCGCTGCAAAAAACCCTTTTCCAAACCCAGCATGGTCTCCAACCTGGCATCGCATCCTTTTCTGCCTCCCATCTCCCCCCACTCTCCCCACGGCGTCCGCCGAGGCTTGAGCAAAGGCAACTCGCAGCTCGTGCCTCGTCCAGCGCCGTCGCGTCCACGGCGCTTCACGCCCCGCGAGTGCGCGCGGCTCATGGGTTTCCCCAACAGCTTTCGGCTCACCGAGCGGACCGAGCCGCCAACCATGTGGTTCCGGGCTCTGCCACCTGGTCGAGGAGGGGGAGGGGGACGGAGGTCCAACGCCGCATGGACAGCGTGTGGTGTTGGGTGAGATGAAGGACGTCCGTGGAGAGGAGGATGGTTGAACGATCGGAAGGGAATAGCTTTTGATGAGGCAATAGGACCCAAATCCATTGGTTGGAGGCTGGAAGGCGGGTTTTCAGGGCCCAAACATAAGGACGGACACCATGTTTTTCTTCCGTGGTTGGTGTGATGGTCTTGAGACCAAAGGTGAGACTCCCTTGACCAAGATCATACTTAGTCAATCTTAAACATCTACATAATCACTTATAAATACTCTGTGCTTCTGCATTGAGCTGAACTGATACCTTGCAAATTGACCTGGTAACTCTAGTGGCCCAGTGGCAGTGGTTGTCAAGGTACCCCATTTCTTTCTTGAGAATCTTTTCCATCCAGCTCTTCCGCCGCACCGGAGCCCAGGTACAAGATGTTTGGCAATAGCGTCTCTCCGCCCCTGGTCGCCCTCCTTGCCAGCGCCATACTGGAACACCTGACCTCTTCGCCGCAGAAGGTGACCTGGAACCAGCTGGGAGAGAGCGTGGCCTTGCGCTTGGCGTTGGAGGCCGTCGCGCCGGAGCGACAAGCAAAGGTGAAGCAGATGCTGCACAGCTCCTGGACGTCAGAGAGTGGGGTCGTCTCATCAGAGTCAGAGAGTGTTTGAATCAGAGGAGTCTGAATCAGAGAAGTCGAAGTCGAAGCGGAAGTTGCTCGACGCCATGGAGAACGGCAAGCGAGAGGATGGTCTGGTGACAGATTACGGTGCATGTGAAACAGCTGAGATGATATTGAACCTGCCATGTGGCAAGGGAAGCAGTTTGTTCGCATGCGTTTTGCAACCTTCCGTCCTTTTGGTTTAACCAAGCGTTTAACACTCCTGTGATCTGCTTACTATCACCTTGACGGGCTCGTTCTGGGCGCATATTGTCCAGCGAAAAGAAGCACGACGAGGCATGTCCATAGCTGTTTCATGCTGTTACTCCTTTTTTTTGCTGGGTTGGCATGTGACGAGCCCTGTAATAAACCTTGACAGATGCAGTCACTTTGACGCTCACTGGCTTCGCTCTTATTTGAACCGTGTCAACAGCCATGCCGGAAATACAGAGCTTCTCACTTTTGTTCCCAAGTTTATGCAAGCTTCGGCGTTACATGCGGACTTGCCCGAATTCATGGCTCAGACTTCAACCGAATCGACTCCATACCACGTCTTTCTAAGTGCGTTTGCATGTATATATATATATAACTATATATATATAAATACCCTACGCACCCAAACACATTAAATTTTTAGGGTCGATGGAAAAAACCTGAGGTTTCTGAAGGAACCCCCAGGTTTTCCAAACCAGTACCAAAATATGGGTTTAGTAGGGGTATGTACGGGGACCCGAGGTTTTAAAAACAAACCTGAGGTATTTTTGATTTCACAAGAATACTCGAGGTTCCGATTGAGACCCTACAAATTTATAGGGTTTAGGTTTCACCAGAGGAAAACTGCTATACACCAAGACCAGATTCAAGCAAGTGCTCTTGGTAGAAGAGCAGCCATGGCATTCCAGTGGAGCAGGGCATGGCTTTTGTTGCTCAGTGGCATGCTGGCCAGTGTGATTGGTGAGGGCACCAAGTTGAAAGAATGGCATGCTACTGAGAACACTAGTGATGATACTTTTTCCTTGCTCATGAAGCCAGCTGAGCAAGGACGAAGAAGCGAGCTTCAGCTCGTAGCAGCATCAAGAAGGAGAAGGAGTGACGAGAAGGAGTTGCAAGGGCACTGGAACCAAAGCAATGCTAGCCGCATGAACTTGCCAATCTGCAGGCTTTTTCCGACAGATTACTATTGTAATCGCACATCAGGTGGCGCAATGATGGCGCAAGCGATGATGTGGGAGTCCAGTGGGATTGGTGGTTGGTTTGTGCCAGTTCTGGTTCTCATGTCCTACATCGGGGGTATTTGCTTGAGTGCTTTGCTGGATGGTCTCTTTCAAAAAGATGAAGTGAACCTACCTGAAGACCCACCCAATTTGGAGCAAACTTTGGGACCTCCACGCCATTCTTCACACTTTTCAGCAGGAACAGTTACTGGCGGGGTGATCTGCCATTCGGGGCTCTTGGATGTTGTGGATGCGAGTGGAAGATGGTGGTGGATGGCGCCAGGATTCTCTCGACCTTTGGCAACAGTGAAGCTGTACATTTGCCTCTTGCTTCTGACGGAGCTCTTCTCTTTGCAGATCCCGAGCGGTAGCGTCTTATCGACCCCTGAGCTCATCTCACTGGAGCCCCACTATCCGGAACCAATCCCTGACACACCCGCAATGGCACAGTGGCTGATGCCAGGGTTTGAGTCCAACATCGCTTCATGGCTGGATTTTCTTGGTGGCCTGCGCTGGATGCTCTTGATCTCTTGGTGCGTCTTCTTGCTTTTGCCGAAAGCACATGGGCTTTGGCAAGTGGTGGCTTCCGCCTCCTACACTTGTGGGGCCTTGGTGTTTTGCTATTTCATTGTCCTCAATATCATGTTCGAGGGACATCACTGTCTCCAAGCTACCTTCTACTTTGTCTTTTCTTGCATTCTTGCGCTTCCCTTTCTGGAGACAAACCCCAGGGCGGCCAATTGGCTCTGGAGATTCCTTTTTCTCACGCTCATCCCATGCTACCTTTTTTGCGGGCTTCAGTAAGATTCATTTCCATGGGCTCCGCACCAACCTCACGGGGGGGGTGGCTGGTGGGCGTGATCGACGGAAAGAAGGGAGCGGCGCCCGGCTTTGTGGGCTTTGTGGCCTTTCTGAGAAGTGCCCCAGGTATACTTGGCTCTGCAGTTCCTTGGCCCTACATGTGCATGTCCTGGGGCAACCTGCTTGTCGAACTGGTCCTTCCAATTGCTGCAATGCTGAGCATGAAGCCAGACAAACTCTCGACACTCATCCGAGTGACTTTCTGTCTGGCGGCCGCAGGCTTTCACGTGCTCGTTCTTCTGCTGAAGGGGCCCAATTTCATGCATAACATCGTGTTGTTGATCATCGCGTGCAATCCTTTGTGCCTCTTCGATCTCGGGCGAGCGCCGCCAGGAGCGCAGACTGAGGATCCGTCGAAGAGCGCAGACCGAGGATCGCAGCGACAGCAGCTGGCCTCTTGGGGAGATCGTTTCAGATCAGCCTATGCCATGATCATCCTGCTCCTGTGGTATGGAGCGGACTTCCAGAATCACTGGAATCATGTGACAAGACAGGTGCCTATCAAGGACCGCAGTGAAATGCTCTTTCCCTTTCCTTCTTTCAACATGTTCACCTATGGAGGAAAAGAACCAAATCCTCAGTTGAGTTGCGGACTTTTTGTTCTGGCCTTTGTGGCCCTGCTCTTAAAGATGCTCAAAGATGTCAAGGACCAGGACAATAGTGATTCTTGATTGAAATCAACCTTGTTTCACCAAATCTACAGAACTGGCTGCACTGGAAAAGGATGATGTACTTGGACATGATGGTATTTTTTTGCATACCCATAGCCATAACTGTGCTCAACATGTCATACAGCCGAGTGAATCACAAATACGTGCGCATGGCCACCAAAGATTCTTTTTGGCCACAGCCGAACTCAGCCGATTCAAAAGCTCAGCCGACTGATTGAGCTTTTCTTGAGCTGCTTGGTTCCAGAATGAAGTTGCACCGTGCCAGGTAGGGCTCCACTCGTCTTTTTTATCTGCGAGCTCCGAAGCCGTCGACGCCGCCCACTTCGCCGCCCGAGCTCGCGTCACTCGGCCAAAGAGGTTTAGGTGACGGAGGGACGGAGCGACCGACCCGAACGTCGATGGTGTCCGGAAGGGTCAGACCGGAGACGAAGGGAGACGACAGGAGACGACAGGAGTCAGGACTGAAGGAAACAAGCAAAGGGTCCTCAAAACATTCATCCCAAACAAACCCACACCCATGGACACTGCCAATTTCTTAGTTGGGACAGTGTGTTCCTTTCAGGCCGGTTCCTGGGCGGCCGCCCCTTCGGCCACTTCCGTGGAGGAGAAGAACATCACCTGTGAGGCGGACGGTCAGTCGCCGGCACAACGGACAGTGAGGGTAGATGAGGAACCTAGAAGCTATTAGGTTGAAGGCCATTGTCATTGGTAGCAATGGCCTCCAACCGAATAGCAATGGCATCCAACCTAATAGCGATGGCCTCCAACCTAGAAAAAAATCCACATCAGGACAGCAGGGTGTTGAGCTTTTGCAGTTCGAGCTTCGGTGAAGCACCTTCGGTGAAGGACCCTTGATATCAGTTTATGCCATATTTTGGAATTTTTGGATCTCACGCACTCCTGTTCTTTGGGATAGTGTTCGGGTATTGCTCAAGGGTTTTGAGTTTCGTTTTGGTCAGCTAGTTTGACGTGAGAAGGTGACTGATCAGAATGCCTTTTCTATGGCCTTTCTTGGGTCAAAAAGAGCCCTAATTACCTGGCAGGTCGACGGTCGACCTCCCTGTTCACTAATCCATTCTGTTCATTTTCTGTGGGAACTGGTCGGTCCCCCCCCAGTTGGGACCCACAGGGGCAAATGAAGCATCCAGTTCGTGGAAATCCACTGCATTGATCCTGGGGATGCCCTGCTCCTGGCACCAGTTTATTGCACTGACTGAACCTCTCCGCCATTGGTCTTGTAAAGACTACAGTATCCTGTTCCTGCTTGCAATCTGTGTCGGGCAAACTAGTACCCATCCACTATCTCTATGCCCCCATTTACACACAATATACAGTATTCAGACTGATACTATCTACTAGTGGCAGGTCAATCAATCCAAATCGGAGCACCCTGCAGGAGTAAACGGATTAGTTGACCCCGAACAGCGTTTTCATGTACGACATTTACAATGCTTCTTCCCTTCGACTTTTTTGTTCTGACATGGATGTGGGTCAAAAAAGGTGTCCTCCAAATAGTAGGTTCACACCGCTGAAAGAAGGGGTCCATCTTGTTGTGGATGTGGAACGATGCCAGAAACTCCTCTTTCGCGGAGGCCTTCCTTTGGGAGGCTCAAGAAGAAGCACATGAACTGCGGAGGCCCTTCGGTTTTGAAGGAGTGTAGAAGGAGATGAAGTATGTTTACCTAGTAACTGGGCTGTGAAGATCAAGTAGAAGGACAGTTGTTGAGGGATCAGACGAGGCATCTGTGCGCCTGAGAGTGGATTTTGTACATGTCGGAAGGTTCATTGAGACCCAGACACTCTCCATGCCCTGGTCTTGGACCAAATTCGATCCTCGATCTCTGATTTCGACACTGGATCTGGCATTGTTAGACTGATCTTGAATCTCCAGACCTCAGAAACACCTGGTCTTGTTTCTGTGCACCTCCGGCCTTCGATTTTAGATCATCCGATGAGTCTCAGTGGACACTGAGCTCGCCCCCTCGGCCCTTCCTTCGATCGTCCAGACCCGTTCGCCGAGATCCACGGTCCAGGCGTCATGAGCAGCTCCAGCTGCACTTCCGCACAGCGCTGGAGGCGCGAGCGAGCGAGCGAGCGAGCTGGGGGTTCGAAGCAGCTGCTTGACTGAGAAGATTGGAAGATCGTCGTTTTGGTGGCAGTTTTGGACACTTTAGGAGTAGCATTATGAAGAGTGTTTCTGAGCCGATTCGGGCTTTCCTCTTGCCACGCCGCTCGAGCGTTGCCACGTTGCTCGCGCAGCCAAAAATAGCGATCGTTTGAAACTCCTGCGGTGTTTTGGACAGGACTCCTTCTTGTTGGAGACACATCACCACTGGAAGCGAAAAAAGAACAGTTTTCGGGACACAAACAAGGGTGTTTTGTTTGGCACCGGCAGGCGGCCACGCAGTGGGTCCGTTTCCTGAAGACCGCGTGGCTTGGCGGGTCAGCTGCGACGGTGTTCATTTTCGTAACGAGGTTCAAGGAGAGCACCAAAGAAGAGAGGCTTTCAACGTCCAGACCAAGAAAAGAGAGAACGCCTGGCCGCCTAACCAACACAATTCTTATGGATCTTATGGGTGCGCAGGCCACTGCCACTTCTTTGTGCATCCTCTCGGGGCTTTTTGTGTCCCCCAGCAAGGCTGCATTTAGAATGGAGACTGGAGTCTTGTCTTGGCTGCGGTCTTCAATGCAATCACGTGAAAGGTTTTGCTGGTTCAGGCGTTGATTGCCTCAGGCAACGACATGAGTTTAGGTTTATCCTTTGACTGTCGACTGTTTGCTTCTGTTGGATCATTGCGGGTTGGTG